GCTCCCGGAAGAGGAGGTGGGGTGCGACGGTGCCGTCTCTGTCCCAGTCCTTATCCCTCTCTTTTATTGTGCCCTCCGCGCGGGTCGGGCTTCGAAAGGCCTCTTGGAGGCGGTGCTTGTACTGGGAAGGGGCAGCAGCATCTCTGCGTCTGACTGGCCTCTTTTTTTCCTTCAGCCCGTCAGAACAATGGTAGTCGTTCCTCACACTTCTTTAAATAAACGGTGGTTGTTTTCTTTACGTAAGCTTTAGGTGGCAATATCTGAGTTCCCTCCTGGGGTCAATAAACTGGTTTGAATTGCAGCACAATATTTGCCTCTCTAGAGACCTGAACCACATTCAGATGGCTGTGGGTTTTGGTTTTGTGGTTGGTTGCTTTGTTGTTTGGTTGATTTTGTGGTGCGTGGTGGTGTTTGTTTGGTTTTTTTTTTTGGGGGGAGGCCTGGCCATTGAAATAGTTTTAAGTGCTGTTATCCTTGATGTATTGAGGATAACAGCAAGTGTTCAAGGCTGGGTTGGATGAGGCTTTGGGCAACCTGGTGTAGTGGAGGGTGTCCCTGCCCATGGCAGGGGGGGTTGGAACTGGATGGTCTTTGAGGTCCCTTCCAACCCAAACCATTCTGTGATTCTATAGTAAGAACGTTGTGGTCCTACACTGCAGCACTGCTGTTTGCCATCGTTTGCGTAGAGCTGCTGTTGCCACCAGTCTCCTGGCTCCGCCAGAGGATGAGAACCTGAACGGCTCCTGCGCACTGCACGTGTGCATCAACTAGTTCGTAAGACTCGGTCCTGCTGTCAAAATCTCTGTCTTAGCAGGCAGAAAAAAAATGATTCAAATTGTATTTTTTTTCAGTAGAAAAACTATAAAAAGATTTGGAAATTATTTTAATACTTGCTGAAATGCATTCTAAAGTACATACCATCTCCACTATGCATAAATTGGGAAGAAGGTAAAATGGTTTTGGGTAACGTACATGATCAGTCATGAATCCTGAAAAAACCCGAAAACCAACCAAAACTTAGAATGCTGATTTGAGTAGGACATAATTTATTTGTTAAATATTGGTTTTAGAAAGTATCTCTAGATGATTTGGTTCACCTGGTCTTTAAAACTACTTTTTTCCCCATGTTATGCCAGAGTCAGTACATTCTAAGGTAATAGCAAAGTCTCTTCTGCCAAACTTCCGTGTTAATTTATACAAAAATCTAAGTGAATGCTGTTTTTGAAAACCAACTCTATGCAATGCTGATTTGTCCGCTCTTTAAAAGAAAATTAGTGTGAATTAATAATGGTTTGTTTTTTAGTTGTTACAGTTTTGTAAGATGTAAACAAAGAAAAAAAAAAACTAAAAAAACCCCAACCCAGTACTATAAATATTTTTGTTCCAACTGTGAGAAAATGCCGTGCAGTTAATGGGTGATCTGAGAGCAATACTGAAGTGTTTTGTTGTGTTGATGAATTTTTAATGTAATAGAAGGAACACAAACATGTGACTTTGCATATCTCTCAATACCTGGAATTTTATAAGTTTTAAATGGAAAAACTCTGTATATATTTTAATTCATTTTTTATCTTAAAAAGCAATTATCCAAGCTAGATTAAGGATGTGATGCTGGTTTTAGTAATCTCAAGAGAACTGAAAATAAATAAAATACTTCAGGTAATTTATTGAAACTAAAGAATGATCTGAGAAATAAAGATTTTGCAGTACTTAAAAATGTAGATAAATCTTTTAAAAAAGTATGTAAAAGAAACTGCAGATAACAAATACATCCCAGATTATTGTATGATTTCTGAGAGTTGAACCCCCTAAATCTAAAGGGAGATGAGATCATGCTCAAACGGAGGAGATTTTGAGCATGGTTCTTTGTTTTCTTTTATTGTCACTTTTTAAAAAACAATGCTCAGCTTAAAAAAAAATCATAAATGTGCATTTTCAAATACGGATTTTAAAACTCATGGGCAAATGCAAGATAGAGCTGACTTACAGCATTATTTCATAAATCTGGAATTCATTAGAATATTAAATTATGCGTTATAAAGTGACTTCTGTTGCATTATTTCAGTCCAACAATGTAAACAAAGATTTTTATTGGTGCTGCAGGTAATGTCATTGTGGAAAATAACCGCATTGATATAAGCCTGTTTTCAAAACAGACTGATCTTTATTTTATTTTATACTTGTACTACTTTGGAGAGCTTTTGTAGAATGACGTTAAAAGTTATTGCTTCGATATCTCTATTTCTGGTAAGAAAAATAAAGTTTTCTAAGTTGTATATTTATATATTTCTTTTTGAATAAAAAAGGATTAGATTTTTTTTTTTTAAGTTAAATTATATACAATTTAAAGTGTCTTGTTTGATAAAGTTATTTTTTTTTTCCCCTTCTCAGAGTCATATTTTGGGGACAAAAGTTCTTGTGTAGAAAATACTAGCACATTGAACCACACGAGTTCTTCTTCTGTGCGAGGCCTGAATAGCACATGTGTCAGAAAAACACCTCTCTCTTCTAGTAGATCTGTTGGCAGAAGTCATACCCCTCTTATGGGATATTCAGGTAAGATTAACAGCTTTTAAAGAAAATAGTCCTACTTAGATTTTTAACGTTATTATATTAAACATACTTTATTTTTTAGTGTGATATAGTAAGATATTGAAATATATTCAAAACACAAAACAAATGTGTTTTGTACTATAGAGGATGCCTGCCAATGAAAGATAACTGGTCAATGCATTTTTTTTTTCAGTGTGACAAACTGAAAAACTAACCATCTTCCAAATCAAGTTGTGTAATTACCGTACCTAATCTAATACACTTATTATTATCTTCACCTTTTAGTTGCTTTTAAGAGAAGAGTTAATATTGTGATCAGTTGCCGATGATGGCTGTCCTGGTTTTGGCTGGGACAAAGTTAGTTCTTTTTAGCAGCTGGAAGAGCTCTGTGTTTTGGTTTTAGTTTGGGACTTGTTCTGAGAAGAATGCTGACAGTGCACTGATGTTTATGTTTGGCACTGAGACCTCAAGGACTTCTCATGTTTTGCCAGTGTGCAGGAGCATGGCAGGCTGAGGAGGGAGCACACTCCCCTTATGATTTGAGTTTAGACTTAGGATTGAGGTCTAAATTGGGCAGTGGAGTATTCCATATTATGCAACATCATGAGCAGTATATAGATGAGGGTTGACCAGAAAGAAGGACTTCTGCTCTTCTGGGAGCTCTCACTCTTGGACTCTCGGAGTGTGTGCTCGCTCTCTCTCACTCTCTTTTTGAGCCTGCTGCTTGTCCGGGATTCCGGTGTTGGGACTTACCTGTTTCAGGATCGTTTGCCAGGACGGGACAGGCATTGGTCACCGGGTAGTGAGCAATTACACTGTACATCACTTGTTTGTATACATTATTATCATTATACACACATATGTATATTCATATATTATCATTATTAGATTGTTCTTATCTCAGCTGACAAGTCTCCTTCCCTTTTCTGCTTTAATTCTCTTCCCATCCCTGGGGGGGGTGAGGTAGGGTGAGCAAGGAGCTGTATGGTGTTTAGTTGCTGGCCAGGCTAAACCATGACAATGGGTTTTGAGTAGAAGATTCAGAACAACAATTACGTTTTCAGCAGGCCTCAGGTGAAATTTTATGTGAATACTGTTGCTGACATCTTGTGGCCTACAGAACATGGGAAGAATAAATGAAGGTTCAGACTCACTTGTGTGCAGCATCAAAGATTTTGCTCAGGTGGCAGCCAGTTGCAGTTCAAACAGCCTTTTAATCTTAAGTTCTTAGATAGATTTTTCTGATTCTGATCTTGCCCTTCCAGATTCCTGGTAAGATTAGTTTTGATTCTTGGGGTACAAATTGAGTTTACTCTGAAGAAAATGTATTATGCTTTCTGAGCAGGATCATTCTGCTTTGAGAATACTCTTTTTTCATTCCTTTTTGAGAACAAATTCTGTGAAGAGGAAGGGAAGGTGATGGTGGAAAAAAATGTAAATAATTACTACAAAGCAGGTAGAGTTTGTTGGTGTTTCAGATCAATAAATATGTCTATGCTATCAAAATCCAGTGCTGTTTAGATGTTTTTGAAAGTGTAAATGTGACATGCCTTGTATATGCAAGTATTTGTCTTATTTTGGATACTTTAGACTTTATGATTATTTAATAATGGCATCTCTTCTGAACATTAAGTGAATTCAAGAAGGATTAAGTGAAGAATGTTCATTAGTTTCATTTCCAGCTGAAACTTAAGAAGGATGAGGTCATGAAGGGTTTTTCCGGTTTGTCTGAGATGTTATATGAAAGTTTGTGGCAGCTGCTTTTCATTGTGTGGTAATTACTTCATTATGGCTTGGCAAGTTGCATGTTTGCTCATCTGAGTAGCACAGTCTCACAATCTTTGGTCACAGATTTCCAAACAAAACATCATTATTAGCATCTCCAGTAGAATTTGGAAGAATTTAATACCATTTTGCAAACACGAAACAGAAGTTAGCTGAGGTACTAAAAGAAGCACTGCCTACGTATTTTTGGTCTTTCATAGATGAAAAGAAGTTCAGTACACCGAATTAATTTGGCAAACCCATTAGTTTAATGTCGTATTTAGGACTTAAGAAGCACTGCTGAGTTAATTAGTGGAACATAATATGGTGTATTGGGACATAACCAATTGTATTACTATTGGTTAAGACGTACTGTTGCACAGATCTGTGATGGCAGGCACCCAGAGGGAAGTTGGGGAGAAGTCAGAGGGTCAGCTCATTTTGTCCACCTTCTTATCCCCCTCTCAGGTCTAATTGTAGATGATACCGCATCCCTGAGACTATCCTTCTTATTGGCTCACAGCTTAGGTTTTAAGCACCAAAACAGTAGTGCTCGAACATGGTTAGTTTTTAACTCGGTGCTCTTTAAAATTCAGTACTATATGAAGGGGTGTGGGAGGAGTGAGATGAAAGAATGCATCAAAATTTGTCTCCAGTCAACTATACTGCAGTAAACCCTAGTTGAACACAAAATAGGCCCGTTTTTGAAATTAGCTATTTGGATCTGAATGGCATGAGATTAAGAATCGTAGGTCTATAGAGTTCAGTTTAGGTGTAAACATCAGGTTTGTTGTAGGTCTATAGTACAATCCCAAAGTAAGTTTGCTTTGTTATGTTGGGCAAATTGCTACAGCAGCTGGATCAGTGCTTTTATCTACATGGGAAAAGGAAGAGACTAGGTAAGGAGGCGAGATTTAAGGTCTTCAGAAAGGAAGACGTTAGGTGTTAAGGAGCTGTAATCTTAATTTTTACACTTAATCTTTGTAAGAGGTGTCTCTGAGAGATAGCGGAATCTTTGAAGAAGGAGATAAGGTTAGTTGAGTTTGTGATGATATTTGGGAAAATTAAGTCAAACCAATTTTAAGATACTAAAATGTCTTTTAAAAAACTAACTAAAATGAAAATCAAGTTATTAGGTCTCAAGTGTACTGTAGAGATATATATGTTAGAATAGTTTAGTAAGTTTAGCGTATATTCAGCTGAAGGGCATGGAGCTGCTGGAGGGAGTCCAGAGGAGGCCACGAAGATGATCCAAGGGCTGGAGCACCTCTGCTATGGAGACAGGCTGAGAGAGTTGGGGCTGTTCAGCCTGGAGAAGAGAAGGCTCCGGGGTGATGTTATTGCAGCCTTCCAGTATTTAAAGGGGCTACCAGAAAGCTGGAGAGGGACTTTTGACAAGGGGCAATGGCTTTAAACTGAAAGAGGGGAGATTTCAATTAGATCTAAGGAAGAAATTTTTTATGTTGAGGGTGGTGAGGCACTGGCACACGTTGTCCAGAGAAGCTGTGGCTGCCCCATCCCTGGAAGTGTCCAAGGCCAGGTTGGATGAGGCTTTGGGCAACCTGGTGTAGTGGAGGGTGTCCCTGCCCATGGCAGGGGGGTTGGAACTAGATGATCTTTGAGGTCCCTTCCAACCCAAACCATTCTGTGATTCTGTGTGTACTTTTAGTGGAATACTACAGTGTCTCTCTGCAAGTAATACACTTGATTTAACCAGCAATAACAGCTATACATAATTTTGAATTCAAAATGAGAGATGTTTAGTAATAGCCATGTCTTTTGGCATGTACTAAACATCTTTTTTGTTTAGTACAGAGGTAGTGACTCAGAAACTGTGTTTTCACTTGCTGCAGAAACGTGATTAGTTCTGACAATCTTAAGTGGATACATTCAGTCTTTTACTGTAAGAATATGATGTTCATACTTTGGAAAGTGTGCTTTGTCTTTATGGTATGGAGAGTAAGTTGTTCAACAACCAGGATTTTTGATTTTTAAGTAAGCTTGGTATGTTGAAAAGGCTTTCCATGGATATGGGAATGTAAACATGTATTTCACTTGGAATGTTGAAGTATGATTCTGTGAATGTAAAGTAGTGGCTCGTAACTGAATATATGCAACTGTTTTACAGTTACATCCTCATCCGCAGCCTCTGCTCATGCTGTTGCATCGGTTATTGTAGCTGTAGTAGAAGGAAGAGGCCTTGCCAGAGGTGAAGTAGGAATGGCGAGTATTGACTTAAAAAATCCTGAGGTGATCTTATCACAGTTTGCAGACAATACAACTTATGCCAAGGTAGTGTTGCATACTTAATTGCTGTACCACTTACAGGCTAATTATTGTGACTTTCTTAAAAAAAGCTTGTGACTAATGGGAAATTATATTTTTTAGTTTGTAGGATAAAGTTCTAGAAATTGTGCAACGTTGAAAGGACTGCTAATTTCCTCACTGTGCCTCAGATTTTAGGTAGAGAGGAAAGTGTTCTGCAAAAGAAAAATAGCCTTTCTGCAAAAAATAGTGTGTTTGAACTAAATGAGAGTGAGATGCCTTGTTTTGAGGAGCGTTGGGCAATGCACAGTAATAGAACTCGCAAATATTTTTCATCAGGCAAAAACAACTCTGAGAGCAAAACTGCATAAATGGGGGAGCTGGGGTAACTGTAGGGGCTGGCTTTGTGTAAATATTCCTTCTCAGTTAGCTGGAAATGAAATTAACTCACTTCACAGCCAAGTGTTCTGCCTATCGGCACCGCATACTCTGCGCTAATTTGGCGAGTAATCTCTCTGGTTGATGCAACACAAGTATTAGTAAATAATGTTACTTGTAGCATCTTTACACTATTCAAAGAAATATTAAGAGTACAACTATCAAAGCTATTTACTAAAATATGTCATATAGTGTCTCTTTTTTCCTTTTTTTGAACGTTAATGCTTTTAAAGCTTATCTTGGTCTTAACACACATAAGTACATATTGAAACTGACAGCTGCAGAAGTACTATTGTAATACCCAGTACTAAAAATCAAAATGAAATGTGCATCTTGAAAACGTGGGTGCACGAGAAAACGTAGACATTCAAATGATGATGTGGCAACTTAAATAATAATTCACTTGAAGGTTTGAAAGTGAAAAATTAATTTGCTTGTACCTAGGAAAAAAAAAAGAAGTCCCATGAATCAAAAGAATGGTAAGACTAGAATTCTTCAAGGAAACTTCAGGTTATTTTTATGGAAATTGTTTACTAATTTTAATGGTTTCATAAAGATTGCAGTTACTTCTAAGAGTAAAAGGCTTTCTTTTTAGCAAGCAGTCGCTGTGTTTATAGTCTGGAGTCTTCCCTGTTCTACTCTCAGGGTTAAGAACTCATTTAAATATTGTCCCATGAAATTTATCCTCTCAAACTGAGAAGTATTTTAGCTGCCCGGACTACTCCCACACCCCTTTACTTTTAGTTTTGTCTTGATTTTAATGATAAAATATAATTACTTTTCTCAGGCCTTTCATACTTTGTCTTTAAGTTCTGATAACATGACTCTCTTCTCTGTTACTCGGGCTTTTAACTTGGTAAGTTTACATCTTCTGTAACCACCTGTCAGGCCAGGGCCAGGTTGTTCAGTATTTTCCTTCCTTACCATTCTGAAAGATGGCATTTTTATTTTTACACATATCTTCCCAATTTTCCATTTAGATTACTGAGTTCTCTGTTCTGTGGACATACCTGATACTGTATTGACTATCCAGTAAAAAAAAAAGAAAAAAAAAAAAAAAAAAAAAAAAAAAAAAAAAAAAAAAAAAAAAAAAAAAAAAAGAAAAAAAAAAAGAAAAAAAAAAAGAAAAAAGGAGAGCTGCTAGTATACAACTACTTTGGCCTAGTTTCTTACCATAATCTCTAATGTTTTTAATAATACTGTCTGTCTTCTAATCCGCTGGTTTCTTACAGTGTCATTATGTATTTTGTTAGTGATTGAAATCAAGCTTATTGTGTTTTCTTTTTCTTGTGCACCCTTTTATTTTTCGAATATTCTGTAAAATAATTCAGTAAAGTTTTCTTGTATTCAAGTTCCTCAAGGTTTGCTTTAACTGCAATGCCTCTGAAAAGCTTCCTAATGATTATCAGATATGATGGGCAGTGACAGCTCTCCCTCCCACACTCCGATAGCCTTAGATGATTTATTTTGTGTATTTTTTTTATGCTTGTTCACCTTTCCATTGTTATATGTCCCTTCTTTCACATCTTAACTTCTAAGAACTTAAAATACAGTCTGCTTTTTCATGTTTCTCCCTTGAGAATTTGTGAATTATGATATAAGTGAATATAAATGTGTGATGTTTGTCCTTTCTTATACAGTAAACAAATAGAAAAGCATATAGTGTACTTGAAGTCCCTACAGCATGTGTGTATCACATAATCAAAGCAAAACTGGTTTAAATATGCACATTTTGAGCCATATTGAAAAAGGTAAGACTGAGATAAATGTTATAACAGGAGGTTAGAACTCTAAACCAAATCTCAATCAAAAGATTATTAATATTCAGACCTGTTGCATTTCTTTATCTTCCAGAGCACCATTAACTTTTTAGCTGCAAGCCCAGAAAGCTGCCATCTGTTGAAAATAAGTCCTACCCCCATCATAGCCATATAGTTTTGGACATTATCTCTTGCTTTGATGACAAGCGTGTTTCTGTGTTTAAATAATAAGGGATAGATACTTTGATGGTGGTTTTTTTTTTTTAATTTTGTTTCACGTATATTTATATATCTGTACCTATAGATACAGATAAATTTGACTTATTAGAATAGAAGATAGCAGAAAATTTGGTCTTTATTTACAAGACTGGAACTGTGATTTTGAAATATAAGGATTCTGTAATTATTGCTGGTTCATTGTGTAAAATATTTTAGATTATATATGGATTTGTAGTGAATTATTTTGATTATTTTTTGTTCAGATTATTACTAAGCTCAAGATTTTGACACCACTAGAAATAATAATGTCAAACACTGCTTGTGACGCAGGGAACACAACAAAATTGTTCAGTCTGATAACAGAACATTTCAAGGTAAGGTCTTAAATTTCATTCCATATTTTAGAGTTCTTGTTGGTTGCTTTTATATGATTGTTGATTAGGGGATTTTCCACAACTTCTGAAACCTTAAATGCAATCAGATTTTGTTTTCTGACTTTCAGGTCTAATTTTACCAAGGTAAAGAATAATCTAAATGCAGCTCCAACGCTGCTAGTTCTAATTCTGACAATTAGAGAGATAAGTATGTTACTGATTAAAGCCAAAAGTGTTGAATTTGTGGCACTGAAGTAATTTGAGCAATACTGAACCTAGGAAAGATTCAGAGATGAAAAAAGTCGAGTATTTTCCTTTGTTCCTTCTTTGTTCTCTCAACATGATGAATAGATGGGACTAATGTATCGCAGAATAGGAAAAAAAGCACTGGCAGGGTAAAAGAGTGTGAGATGAACTAGTATATGTGATTTATGAGCCTCAAAACTTTTAACAAACTGTTAATTATTACTTGAATTGCTTCCATATCTACACTGTTGGTGGCTTCTTCACGAATCCTCTTCTACTTCGTAACCTCTCTCCTCTTTTTCTTGCGTAAATCGCTCACACATTGCACACATTCAGTTACAGATATGCAGTGATCTGCATATCTTTATTCCCTATTTACCATTGAAGGCTTCGTAATGATCCCTTGGGCTTAAACCTTGGTAAGGGAAAACTACACTTTGAATTTGAGCATCATTGTTAGCATGCAAATAACCCTTCCCAAAAAGTCATTAAGTTTAATGAAATCCAGGTTAAATTCAAAATTTGGGGTAGCTAGTTCCTGAGAAGAAAAGCAATACCCAAGAAAAAGCCCATGTTAATTTGCTCAAAACAGTGGTATGAGCCTTATTATATGCACTCACTACCGGAGAGGAGGAAGGACGGGTGACCGTAGTGTGGCTTGCTTGTGCTAATAAGCTGGAACGAATACTTCTACAGAGACAGATTGCTGAATCAGTGTATAGATTTTCTTGGAAACACATACCACTAGAAAAGAAGAGAAGTCTGCCTGACGAAAAATTCTCTATAACTTTTTGAACTGTTTGCTTTCCTCCCCTGATCTTCACAGAATGTGACTTTTACAACTGTCCAGAGAAAGTACTTCAATGAGACAAAGGGTTTGGAATACATAGAACAATTGTGTGCCTCTGAATTCAGCACCATTTTAATGGAGGTTCAGTCCAAGTAGGTTTAAATAAGGAAAAAGTATACTGTGCCCAGATAAGTTTTTAACAGCTTTTTACATACTTAGTACACAAGTCTGTGGCTTGTTGCAAAAGTTAGAAAATCGTAACGGAGCTGTTCTTTTATTTTGCCCACCAGGGTTTCTGAGATAGATAGATATAAAAACTTCAGTAGAAAGCCTGGGTTTTTTTTGAGTTTTCATAGCTTTCCACTTTCGACTTGACATTATTTCCTTAAAGATACAACTTAACACCTGTGATTGCCTTTCTTTCTGGCCTCAGTAAATGTTTTCCACATACAAACAATTTTAAGTAGTGATACTTGATGACCTGGGTCTTCGTTTCAAGTCACGTGTAACTACTGAAATAGGTATATTCACAATACCAGCTATATAGTGTGGAGTGTTGAGTGTACAGAGACTCAAACATTCATGAATATTTGATTTACATGCATATGTGTGCTCTGTACATGGGCTAGTGCATACTTAAAACATACTGCTTTTTCAGTGCTATCAATCCCAGTAGTTGTCAGCCAGCAGTGTGAATGTGATTTCTGTAGTGCCCCGCTTGATTTTGTGGTATTTAAATAACACTATTCAACATTCATTAAAGATTGTTTCTTTCCAAGGTACTACTGTCTTGCAGCTGCTGCAGCTTTGCTAAAATACGTTGAATTTATTCAAAATTCAGTTTATGCTCCGAAATCACTCAAGGTCCGTTTCCAGGGAAGTGAGAAAACAGCTATGATAGATTCATCATCAGCGCAAAATCTTGAACTAGTAATTAATAACAGAGATTCTCGGTAAGAATATCTAAGTTTACAAATTACACTTCTGTAAAGTTGTGTTTTATGAAATTTCCTTGAGGTTTGTGTCGAAGAGCTGACCATTATAGATATTCCTGTATGATAGAACTTGCATACCATTCAGAGCTTTAAAAAAAAATATTTGAACAGAGAAGTGCATTACAATTCAGCACAAAATTTCTAGCTTAGGAAATCTTAAAAATGAATTGCAGGAAGAGATGATACGTTGTCATCTTTACATTGATATGTGTATTTTATTCAAACTTATAAATGATGAAAAATTTCACTTCACAGATTGTGAGATGAAAGAGGCAGCATTTCTGCAAGAAATTGCTTATGTTGGATTAAAATGCCTAGGTTTTATTCATTTTACAGAAGATAAACACCCCAGGCTTGAAAGGTTGTTTTGTTTTCCTTTAGCTCTAAGGAATAGTGACAAAGTAATTCTATAATGATGATCATGTGCAATGTGGTACTTGATTTCATTGTAGTGCTCCACAGTGAAAAGAACAATGCTTGGAGCGCTTCCTTTACTAGAAGTTACTTGCCTTCTAGGCAGAAGAAGCCGCAAGGCTTACCTTCTTGACTGTTAGCTTCCGATTAGAAAGGGAAAGACTTGGAACTTGAGCTTGCTGCCTGCCAAGTTCTGGGAGCCAGCTCTGTTGAGAAGTCCACTCATCACACTTAGGTAAAAAGGGAAGCCTGGAGATCCCTCACTGTCCAAGTACTACTCATAAGAGGTTTCCACTTGGAGAGATCTCATAGAATCGTAGGATGACTTGGATTGGAAGGGAGCTCTAAAGATCATCTAGTTCCAACCCCTCTGCTGTGGGCAGGGACATCTTTGAGTAGATTAGTCGTCTTTACCTTTCTGCCACTGCTCTCTTTTTTTTTTTTTCTTTTAATTTCTTAATTTTCAAATTTTTGTGGGGATTGCAGAGTACATAGTTAGATCTGTTCTTCAGAAGTGGGAGGTAACTATAATTTCTTTCTGTTTATCTGTCATGCTCTGCCCCCAGTTCCTTCTTGTTTGCTCCGGAGCTTCATACTTAACTGCAGGAGCCGGCACTCTTAAGATTGGTACTCTCAGAGCAGTATTTCTCAGAAAGCTGCTCCTAATTCCACAGGTGATTTTGAGAGGAAGGAGGTCAGAGGAGAAACTGAACAACAGTAAACTGCTTTAAGATTCCTCTTTTTTTAATATTATTGCTGCAGAATTTTTGCTGATCCAGTGGCAAGTTTGAATCAGGCCACACACCGCTATTTCCATTATGTAGGTCTTACCCCTAAAGCCTGATGTCATGGTTTAACCCCAGGCAGCAACTAAGCACCACACAGCTGCTTTGTCACTTCCCCGAGCTGGGATGGGGGAGAGAATCAGAACAGTAAAAGTGAGAAAAGTCGTGAGTTGAGGCAAAGAGAGTTTAATAGGTCAAGCCAAAGCCACAGATGCAAGCAAAGCCAAACAAGGAATTCATTCACCACTTCCCATCAGCAGACACCTGTTCAGCCATCTCCAAGAAAACAAGACTCCACCATGTGTAACAGTTGCTTAATTAATCCTGGATTAATCCTGGAGGGGCTTGTCTCCATTCACTGTGTAGGGCAATGTGCCCTCAGTTACCTAAAGATAGGCAGCGTGGATACTATCCCAAACGTAGAGCTCCCCTATGTGTTATCATGAGATGTCATCTTACAGTAAATATGTCCTTAAAACTGGTTTTGAATTTCCCCCTTTTTTAATTCTCTTGACTGTTGCTTTGTTCTTTTATACTATGGTATTTCAGGAGTTTCTGTACTATGTATATATCTTTATGCTGTTTGTTTTGGATACTTGTATCAAAAAAAAGTCTTCTTATTCAAGTTCTGTTTTCAATCAATGTGTTCATATAGTCCCAGTCTTTTCATTGGCCTTTCAAGCCAATAGCATCGAAGGTTTCAGGTTTGTAAAACTGTTCAGGTATGTACTAGATATAGATATTCTAGACTGTTTATTTTAAACAGATACAGTCAGCTCTTAAGTGTGAGACCCTGGGATGTGCAATATGTAAAAGCCATGAACATGAAAATAATGTTTATAAAGTATAAGCATGTTATTTGGCCTCCTATATTGACTATAAGTCAGTTCTCTAAAAATATGAAACGAAAGCTTATTTCTGTCTTGGACTTTGAAGTATTTTAAATCCTTTTCAGAAATGTATTTTAATGAAAATGTTCTGATTAGTATTTGATCTCAGATTATAATTTGTCTCCTTTTGTAGGCTTAGTTTTTTTTTAATTAGTTCAGTTGAGAAGAAAAATGTGAACTGCACCACTGCAGTAAGAATGGAATACTACTACAAAAAATACTGAGCACAAATGTATTTTTGTATTTTAGAAAATGATATAATGAGGGCTAATATTACATTAAATTACATTAGATTACCTGACTTCTTAAACGACTGTGGTCCATGTAATATATATGGCAAATATGGAGGTGCTAAGCATCCCAAAAGCATGCCTCAAATTTGTAGGATACTCTTAACCTGAAAATGTCACTTGACATATACCATCTTTATGTTTGTGAGTGTATTCTTCACATGTGTTTTGTTTTTTTTTCAAAGGAATGGTCACACACTTTTTGGTGTCCTAAATTACACTAAAACTCCAGGTGGATGTCGAAGACTTAGATCCAATATCCTGGAGCCACTAGTTGATGCCGAAACAATTAACACAAGACTGGACTGTGTTCAAGAGTTACTCCAGGATGAGGAGCTCTTTTTTGGTCTTCAAGCAGGTAGTTTATTTTTTAATGCATAGTGTTATATTTCTTTTTAAACATTTTTTCTAACCTGTGAAAGCATGCAGCATGACTCAGTATGTTTGAAAAGCACTTTTTAATCATTTGTCAGGTGACACATATAGTGGACATTCAATGTTTTGAAGTAATCTTTATATTGATAGTGATATTTTTCTCAACTATTTTGCTAAGAAAAGTGAATTTCTCTGATAAAGTGGATAGAAGTCAGTGAGCCAGTAGCTTTTTTGAAGAATTTTAGTTTGTCCCTTTACCTCTGTGGCTAGATACACACTATGTTGGAAGTATATGAGTATACATTATATATACATTAAGAACAAATAAAGACGTTACTGATGTAATAATTGTGTATGCATATTATTTTTCCATTGCTTCATAAAACATAGTGGTCCAGACAGATGTAAAAAAACATGCAATACCAGGGTGTGAGTTTGTCCACCTCAATTTGGATCATGTAACCTTAATCTTTATCACAAGAGAAATACGATTCAATCTAACAAAAATAATATTGCTGAATTGATACATGTGCACCTGTAAATAATCACTACATGCTTAGATCTTGTAAGTATAGTTATGACAGAATAATTTAGATACCAGCTATTTTTAACCTGTTTTTTTTTCCTCTGGTAAGTGATTTGTAAAGATTGAAAGAAAAATATCAGCAGCAGTATCACTAAGTAATTATGTGCATTTAAAAAATAAAATATTTTATTACAATTTTGGTTCAGTTTCTGATCTATTTACTTCTGTTTTACAGTTATCTCAAAATTCCTGGACACAGAACAACTGCTTTCAGTTTTGGTACAAATTCCAAAGCAGGATACAGTATGTTTTGAAGTACACCTTACACGATCAGTTACCTGGCTATAACATGCAATATGTAAATGTGGTATCTATAAATATAGAATCATAGAATGGTTTGGGTTGGAAGGGACCTCAGAGATCATCTAGTTCCAACCCTCCTGCCATGGGCAGGGACACCCTCCACTACACCAGGTTGGTACTGGGGCCGGAGGGTAGAATGATTTCGCTCGACCTGCTAGTCATGCTTCTTTGGATGCAGCCCAGGACATGGTTGGCTTTCTGGGCTGCAAGTGCACGTTGCCGGCTCATGGTGAGCTTCTTATTAACCAACAGCCCCAAGTCCTTCTCCTTAGGGCTCCTCTCAATCTATTCTCTGCCCAGCTTGTACTTGTGCTTGGGATTGCCCCAACCCATAAGCAGGACCTTGTACTTGGCCTTGTAGAACTTCATGAGGTTCGTACTGGCCCACCTCTCAAGCCTATCAAGGTCTGTGTGGATGGCATCCCTTCCTTCCAACGTGTCAACCGCACCACACAGCTTGGTGTCATCAGCAAACTTGCTGAAAGTGCACTCAGTCCCAATGTCCATGTCGCAAACAAGGATGTTAAACAGCACCAGCCCCAGTACTGACCCCTGAGGAACACCACTCGTCACTGGCCTGCACTTCGACATTGAGCTGTTTACCACAACTCTTTTGAGTGTTACCATCCAGCCAATTCTGTATCCACCAAGTGGTCTGTCCCGTCAAATCTATGTCTCTCTAATTTAGAGACAGCAATGTCGTGTGGGACAGTGTCAAATGATTTGCACAAGTCCGGATAGATGATGTAAGTTGTTCTTCCCTTATCCAACAACATTGTAACCCCATCATAGAAGGCCACCAAATTAGTCATGCACAGTTTGCCCTTAGTGAAGCCACGTTGGCTGTCACCAATGACCTCCTTATTTTCCATGTGCCTTAGCATAGTTGCTAGGAGGATCTGCTCCATGATCTTGCCAGGCACAGAGGTGAGACTGACTGGCCTGTAGTTCCCTGCGTCGTCTTTTTTTCCCTTTTTAAAAATGGGGCTATGTTTCCGTTTTTCCAGTCAGTGGGAACTTCACTGGACTGCCATGACTGCGCAAATATGATGGATAATGGTTTAGCAGCCTCATCTGCCAGTTTCCTCAGGACCCACAGATAAATCTCATAGGGTCCCATGGACTTGTGCACCTTCAGGTTCTTTAGATGGTTTCGAAGCTGATCTTCTCCTACAGTGTGCAGTTTTTCATTCTCCCTTTGCCTTCTGTGACTTGGGTGGTGTGGCTAGAGCACTTGCCAGTGAAGACTGAGGCAAAAAGTCTTTGAGTACCTCAGCCTACTCTATATCCTGGGTAGCCAGGTCTCCCGTTTCCTTCCACAGAGAGCCTACATTTTCCCTAGTCCTCCTTTTATCACTGACATACTTAAAGAAGCTTTTCTTGTTGCCCTTGATGTCCCTGGCCAGATTTAACTCTATCAGGGCTTCAGCTTTCCTAACCTGACCTCTTGCTGCTCGGACGATTTCTCTGTATTCTTCCCAGGCTCCCTGTCCTTGCTTCCACTCTCAGTAGGCTTCCTTTATGTGTCTGAGTTGGTCCAGGAGCTCCTTGTTTGTCCATGCAGGCCTCCTGGGGTTTTTGCCTGACTTCCTCTTTGTTGGAATGCACCACTCTTGAGCTTGGAGGCGGTGATCCTTGAATATTAGCCAGCTTTCTTGGGCCCTTCTTCCCTCCTGGGCTTTATCCCATTGTACACTGCCAAGCAGATCCCTGAAAAGGACAAAGTCAGCTCTCCTGAAATCCAGGGATTTCATTAATGAAATCATAAAGTCATTAATGAATCATAAAGAAGTAACATTGTACGGAAGAGTTAAATCGACTATGGTTGTATTCCTTCATTTTCTCCCTTTGACCCTAAAGCGCAGTATGTACAAAGATCCACTTTTAACATCAGTTCGGTTAAAAGTTCCTGTAAGAACTATTTTAGCAAAGGTACTTTCCATTAAGAAATACCAACTCTTATGACCATATCTATCCTTTTGATGTTCAGTTCCATCATGGGACTTAGACCTTATGTTTGTTTGCACATTATGATTCTTCTGTTCATACATTTAGAATTGTTTAGTCCTCTATTTTTCACAGAAAACAACTTGATATAGAAGGTAAGATAAGGCAAGACATGCACTCTACCACAAAAGTAAAGACTTACTATATACGAACGAGAAAAGATTTCACACAGGGTCATACTCCTGTGTTCATGTTGAAAACTGATGCTGGATTTTCTTCAGAATCAAACAATGGTTATCTATGTTGGTTTCTTAAAATTCTCTCACACATCCTAACTTAGGCAGTACAAATGCTATGCCCTAATAGCAGCAGCAAAATTCTTCTATCATAAATGTTAATGGGGCATACAAAACAAGGTGGAATGTGTATGTGGACAAACATTTTGAAGAGCAGTCATTATTGTAAGCAAAATTTTTAAATGTTTACTGGATTTTTTTTTTTCTTTATATGGGAGGATGTTTAAAGATATATTTATATCAACCACAGATAAATCAACCAAATTGGGTTATGTTGTGTTTCACAGCATTTATGAAAAGAGCTATGCTTCTTAATTATGATGCATAATGAACTTGCATGGAAAAAGTCTGTGTATAGCTTGCATGGAGCTGCGTGTACGTAGAAGATTAAAAGAAGCTTTCACATCTTGGGTTAGCAGAGTGCTCTCAGAGTCCATCATCAGTGCTGACATACAAAAATATTAGCTACTGATGGGCAAACTATCACAGTAGGCAGTGTAAAATTTAGGTAAACATTTTTTCGATGTAGTTATACATTGAATTGTCAAAGGGAGCTTATAAGGTATTTAGCAATTTTCATTTAAAGTATAAACCTGTTACAGTTAACAGTGTGAGTTCTGATAGTTCTTTAGTACTTTTTTAAACAGGCAGACATACAAACATTTCTAATACTTGTAAAATTTTTTTAACAGGTTAAAACTGCTGAATCAAAAATAACTAATTTAATCTACCTGAAGCATACTCTAGAACTTGTGGAGCCTCTAAAAGTAAGCTCTGTCATTTTTCTATTTTTTTTTATAAAGTACAGACCGTATTTTTTTGTCTTTATACAGTGCAGTTTGTTGTATTTCATAGAATAGAATATCTCGGATTGGAAGGGACCGATAAGGATCATTGAGTCAAAAAAACCCCTACTTTATATCTTGCAGTACACAATACTGCCATCATGGTCTGTTAACTCTTAAGCCAATCGAAAATACACATTTGAGTCTAATACTCTTTAAGAACTGGATTTCTACAGTTACCTGAAAAATGTTTGTTATAAAATCAATTAAATTGAAACTCGTGCTCAGATTCCGTACACTGCTTATGCAACCACTAATCAGCCTCAGTGAATCTAAGAACTTTCAGTCCTTCAAAAGAGCTACAAAAAGAAGTAACTATTCATGTCCCTCTTTTAATCTTCAACAGGCTGCTTTAAGAAGCTGCAGCACACCACTGCTAAAGGCTTATTACAATTCTCTGGAAGATACAAGGTATGTATCATCATACTTCAGCTAGTATGTTAGAAACTCTCATCTTTCTTAAGAATATCTGTGACATTAAAGACGTTGCATCTTTGCTTGTCTGTAGTTACAGGTGTAGCTCAATTCTTTTGCCTAAAAGCTGATGTTAATTGTCAAAAATTTTGATTTTCATCTAACAAACAGAGAAAAAGGCAAACCAGCAAGTTAGCTAAGATAGCAATTGCTGATGAACTCTGTTAGAAATAATTCTGAAAAGACACAAGTAGTGGTTTCCTACAGTCCCCATAATAATGCAAAAGTCAACTGTTGCCAGTATTTTTGAATGATATCTTTTATCAGACTTGGGTATAGTCATGCTGCATTTTGAGGTGAAAATAGACATGAAATTTAGTGTTTGGTTTTAGTGGTAGATAATTTGCTTCTGTTATTTGTAATACTCTTACTTACAATTTTGAGATGATACTGCAAATAAAAATCATAAAGTATTATGTAGCTAATTAGTGATACAACTAATATTACAGATTTGGAATTATACTTGAAAAGATTACAACTGTAATTAATGATGATACAAGGTACACAAAGGGATGTCTGAGTATGAGGACCCAGAAATGCTATGCTGTCAAGCCTAACATCAATGAATTCCTTGACATAGCTCGTAGAACATACACAGAAATTGTTGATGACATAGCAGGTATTTCTAAACCAAGATTTTTATTTATTTGGATTTCAAAGTACATTACACCTAGCGTATAGAAGCCATGTAATCGTATATATTATAACCTCCTCATATGTAAAAAGTATTTAGTACTAGTATAAACTGATTGTCATTGATAAGTAACTGAAGTACTTGAGATACTTGTTGAGATTCTCCTTTTGTAGATAAAACCCGTTTTATTTTAATGAAGTTGAACCATTATATTGATTCCTGTATTTAAAACTCTGTTGCTCTTTATCCTCTAAAAGTACAAAAAAAATAACATAACAGAATTATTCCAACTAAAACATGAAAATCTTTGGTTTAGCTTCTTGAATTAAAATATCTGGCAGAAGATATTTGCGGTGTTCAGAATTCCCATGATTTAACAGTACATATTCTTCTGTCAACTAACAGTTTCCTACACACAGTATCTTCTCAGCTAGCAACAAGGTGGTTTTAAGGGGAGGTTACAAATGTGAAGCATTATCCTTGGTTTGGAGAAAGATCACTTAGAATCATGAACTGCTTAAAACCTGAGGGTCCCTAGTGTACCGTTCATGTGCTGTCTGTTGATTAGACACTGATGCCAAGTGCTTGAGCAGCCTTTGCTTCCCATAGCTAGGCCCACCTGGGAGTTGGTCATGGATTTATCTGATTCTGCACTGGGGTTTTTTCCCAGGAGCTTTATGCAGCCAGATCTGTTACATTAATATGTTACTTACATAACTCCCTGAAGACCCACTTCTAAGGCTTTTTGTCATGTTACTTACCGGACGCATTCAGCACCTATAAATCACATTAACAGTATGCATCTTTGTACTAACACAAACGTGTATGTGTGTATGCATAAAATGTATGTAATTTGGGTCAAATCTTTATTTTTGGTGTGTAGGTATGATAACACAACTTGCAGAAAAGTACAACTTACCAATGAAAACAAGTTTTAGCTCTGCTCGTGGATTTTTTATCCAGATGAATGCTGATTGTTCAACATTACCCAATGGCCAACTTCCTTCAGAATTTACAAAGGTATCTCTTTTTTTTTTCTTTTTTGAATAATACCTTTGTATACTTAATGTATCTAAAATGCATAATACATTAATAAAATACACATTTTACAGTAATTTAAGCAACAATTAAAATAATTTCAGTGAAGATACCTAGAAGTAAATTAAGGTATAATCGGTATGTTTTTATAACTGCCCTATTTTTATTTATACTTCATGTAGTCAGAAATGTGCAATGACATGCAATTATGTTGTGTGTAAATGTAAAGTTGTATATCTTGCTGATAACTGCATTCCCTTTTGTGGATTTTTCATTAAAATTTTTATGGGAGAAATTAAGCTAGGCATTGGTTTTTTTCTGCCTTTTTCCCCCCCATATTGTTCCCAGTTTAATTTTTAGAAATGTTTTGTTTCTGATGATATGGCAAGTTTGTATTGTTGGTTTGCTTTCCTTGTAGATCACTAAAATGAAAAACACATATAGCTTCACTTCAGCAGATTTAATAAAAATGAATGAAAGATGTCAGGAGTCCTTGAGAGAAATATATCACATGACCTACTTGTAAGACCATTTAAAACTATTTACTATTTGCTAACTACATTTATTTTGCCCAATTAAAGCTATCTTTCTGTTAAGTTTTGGCTGCTTTCAGAAATAATTCAAAGCGACACTGATCAAGTGTACTTCCTGAGACAAAAAAAAACCCAACACAAAGTGTGTATTGTATTAAATGTGGTTACAAATATCTAGGCATTTATTAATAAGGATGGCTGTCATATTTATTTTTTTATGGGTGAATTATCTACTCAACATGACACAATGAATGTATAAGTTTTGTAATGCAGAATTGTTGCTTTTAATCAGTTCCTTGCATTTACAGTAGAACTGTCTATTTCTATATTTTGTCCTTGCTGCATGTCATGTTGCTCTGCCATCCATTTCAGAAGACTTACTAAGTGTAATGTTGCATGTCAATTTTATGGAAATTCTTTCTAGAAACCATGTGAGATTTTTATTAACATGAAGGCCAAAGGGAATTAGAGGCATATTTGATAATAAACCATACTTGATGCCATAGGTATATTTTCAGTTCCTTCTCTTTGTGAAGCTTTCCTATGAGCTCTTGGTATTTGAGCTATGTGTCTTGTGTTCAGTAGCAGAATTTGATCTGAGATGATGGTGTAAGATCTTAATTTGCTTCAAAGAAATGTATACGTTTGGTTGCATCTGGCAGCAGATTGCATGTTATGGGTAATCTTCCATTCTAGTGTATGCAGTATGAAAATTATTAACTTGCTTTCATTTCTCTAGGTTGTATGAAGTGACAGTATATACTGTGCAAACACTAAATGAGTGTCTTATTTCAGAATAGTGTGTAAACTACTGAATGAGATCTATGAACACATTCATTGCCTATACAAGCTATCTGATGTTGTGTCGATGCTGGACATGCTGCTTTCATTTGCCCATGCCTGCACTCTTTCTGATTATGGTAAGTTTCTTTGATTCTATCATGGGCCAGATACAGACTCTCCTGTTGGAGAATATCCAGGCTGTTTTGTCTGGTTTTCTAATTGCTAAGCCCATGTCATTTATTTTTCTGGGTCTCAGTAGGCTTTAGGTGACTGTCTCTGGTCTATCCTTGCCAATTTTGTGCTGATAACTCTTCCTGTTTCCATTCATTGAGATTACATTCTGCCATTTAGCTGCTGTAAGTCTCCACAGACAGTCTTTTCAAGATAGCCAGTTTAAGCATGTTCTTCGAAAGCATGAAGTCTGTGAGCATTCTGAGTTTACACTTCTGTTCTGAAAGGGCACAAGATAATAATACAAGCAGATCAACGTTAAGTATATACTGAAAGCAAAAGATGTGGCTACCTTTGTTTATCTGCTTCAATTTCTGTAGCACTTTTAGACATTTTTGGAAGTAGCGTCTTCTAAGGAAGCCAGAATCATACCTGCATATTGTTCGTTCTCCTTTCCTAGCCTGGTTCTGCAATGTACAGATGAGCACATTGTCTTCAGTTAATGCTGACCTGAGATATGTATGTGCAGTACAGTGCAGCATAGTTACTAAATTGGGTCAGGAAGCCGTCTCAGGCATTACTGCTGATGCTGCTGCGTAACTTCCCGTTTGTGAGCAGGATCAGTTTAGTTTGCAGTATGAACTGTGAATCTTCATGCTCTGATGATTCCAGTCATAGCACACGAGTTGATAGGTAACGGAAGAGTAACAGATACGCTTGAAGCGTCACAACTTTTTCCTACCAAATGAATCGGGGCACAAGTTTTCTTCAGCAGTAATAATAAGACCAAAGCCACTTGGCTTCTTCCATAAATCTACACCTGCAGTTTGCACTGCCAGGCATGAACGTGTATCCACGAAATGGACTGTCATTTGTAGCTTTCAGTCTCCTTTGCCACTTGACTCTCTCACCTAAATCGTTAAATGACTAAAACCTACACCAGGTAGTTAGAGTTCTCCAGTGTTTAAACCTGAAAAACTGTTTTGGCATTTCTTTCTGGAAGGCTGCTCCGTTTAAACAGACCACCAAATTTAACAATGCTTCTTTGTTAGCCTGAGGTCCTGCCATTGAGGTAGACAAAGAGGAGGCATACGGAATAGGTTCAGAAAAGAACTGTATTCTGACAGAAATACATACAGATAGTCCTAGTATCAAATGGATCTATGCAGGCATAGTATACATTCAAAGAATCAATATGATAAAATATAACAAAAATAGAAGAAATGCCACTTCCTTGTTTCCCATGCTTATATAATAAGGTACATATGTAGTAGTAACAGAGTTATGTAGTTAGTAACAGTCATGACCCTGGCACTTTCTATGCTCCTGGCAGTATAAAAATAAATTATTAGAAATATATTGCCTATGAAACTGGCTTTCAGATTTTCTGTTTTAATTACTTCTCAAGTTTCGCTTTTTGTATTTTATTACTGGAGTCCAACCCTACTTACTACAGAACACAAACAGAATGTTAATTTAGAAATGGAGTGTTAGTTTTGTAGTAATAAATCATGAAGACTTGCATGACAATCAGAATCTATACCTCAAAGTGGCTGGCAATTCTTCCTAAGTGCTGCATATTAGTCTTGTTTGCTACAGGAAAGTAAAAATTGAGAAATAGAGACCACAGAGTTTGACTTCTGTTCTGCAAAAATTACTTTATTTCAAAATGCAGTCGTTTAATAATGTAAAGGTTTCCATACTAACTCTGGAATGTTTTATATCCTTTTTCTGATTCAGTTCGCCCAGAATTTACGGATACTTTAGCGATCAAGCAGGGATGGCATCCTATTCTTGAAAAGATAGCTATGGAAAAACCTGTGTCTAACAACACGTATCTGACAGAGGGTAACAATTTTGTCATTATTACAGGACCAAATATGAGTGGAAAATCAACATACCTAAAACAGATTGCTCTCTGTCAAATTATGGCACAGATTGGTGAGTAAAAGTCAACTGGATTAGTAATCTTCTGCAGCACATTTATTGTTTTCTAGTTCAAAATATTTATGAAGTTGAATGATTTGGCTTCTAGAGTAAGATTCTATCTAAATAGTAACAGGTAGTTTTTAGTCCGTTTGCTCCTGCCAGCTCTTGTGTTGCTGAGAGAGGCCACTGCAAGGTCTTGGGACTGCCATTGGAAACTAACGGGGCCCCATCTGTGGATCTGGAAGCCTCCCCAGTCTGTAGGAGAAGCACAGTTATATGCTGCAATTCTTTGGAGCACCTTAACGCAATCTAGCGTTTTATGCTAGATTGATAGCGAGTGCCCTTGAATTGTATGTCAGGCTGCGTGTGTGTTAGTCATCCAAAAAGAAAAGATGAACTTGAGCGTACCTCAGTTATGCAGAGAAACATGCTTGCAGCCAAGTAGAATTAATAGACAAATAATCAACTACTTTAAATAAAAGTAGTAATAAATACTGCAAGGTTTTGTCACTAAACTTAGAAAGTAAAACAAGTATTTGTAAAGTCTAACTGAGACTCATGCCAATACTCAGGAATTCCTCATGATTTTTACCTTAACGATAAAGGTAAAGCTGGTAGCACAGGAGAAAGACCTTAATAGGCTGACCCTAACTCCACTAGAATGAAACTACTTAGCAGTGGAGAATAAAATTTGTACACCATGTGTTTGTGAGTGCAGTCCCCAACAAGTGCAAATTCTTCAGGAATTGCTCTCACTTTAAAGCATGAGTTTAGTATGAATGAAGGAGACTGTAAGGTCTTGTCACATTGATAGGAAAAAACTTGTGTTTTACTTGTTTCTAGGTTCTTATGTCCCAGCAGAGTATTGTTCTTTTCGAATCGCAGAGCAAATTTTTACCAGAATAGGTATGGATGATGATATAGAAACAAATGCATCAACATTCATGAAGGAAATGAAAGAGGTATTAAACATAGCTAATCCAGGGTCCCAGGCCCATTTTTACTGTTAAGCTGATAGAAATTGTACTGTTATATTTCCAC